TCATTATTTTGAATGATTGTTTTTTTAAACTTTACTCTGATAAGGTCATATAACTTACATTTTTATATTTTTAATTTGTATTTTAATCTTTTATAACTTAAAAAAAATTCTCAAGACCCATAATTTTATTCAAAACTTAAATCTTAAATTTATGATTCGTATAGTGACACATTTTATAGACGTGAATATTTTAGAAATGTAATTCTTAAATTTAAGACTCTGACAAATCATTATATATTCTCTTACTATTTTTTTCCTCGTGGGTTAACCAAAGTAATTTAATTAAAAGGACAGAATTTTATATATTTAAAAAATCAAATACATTGAATTTAAAATTATCAGTCCAAATTATTCAAATTAGAAATGTCTTTGTTTAGATAAAAAAAATTAAGTTTATTAAATTTATAAACAGAGTATTTCAATTATCATTAATACAAACTCTCACCAGATAAAACTACTGAACTCTAGAGCTGTCAAAACGAGTAACTCAACTAGACCTGGTCCGGCTCATCACAGGTTATGGTCACTTAGTGAGGCAACCCAACCCGGTTCACTTATTAGCGAGTTAAAAAAATTCGAACCCGACCTGACCAACTATGGTTGGTAGGTTAAACAAGTTGGCTGACCAGCTCACTTAATTATAAATTTTTTCTAAAATAAAAAAATTACAATTTTTTTTTAATTCAAACCTAAATAAACGTGACACTAAAATAAAATGATGTACCTAAATAAACGTCATACTAAAATGATGTTAAACTCCAAAGACAATTCAAGTATAATACAAAAACATGTACAAAAGACGAACAAATAAGTTTTTAATAGTGATAATTTTTGTATCAGTTGTCCATTTATAATATTAGAGTCTTGAACAGATAAATCTATAATATTTTACTCTCTTCAAACATCTTCTTCTTTATCACCATTTATAATATAATAAAAAAATGCTAATAATATTAAAACACAAAATAATAAATAATTAAATTAAATTAGGTGGATTAGTGAGACAACCCAGCTCACCACGAGTTTAACCCGGTAAGCCGAGTTCTAAGTGAGCCGGTTTGAAAACTAGCTCGCAATAAAAATTACATTTTTTTCAAATCCAACCCAGTTCAAACTTGCGATGAGCCATATTGACTCGCGTGTTACAACTCATTTTGAGAGCACTAGTGAACTCTGAACAAATATAACTCTCACAAATATTAATGAAAAAATAATTACTGTACAATTTAACTAAAAGAATTTCACTGATATCTTCTAAAAAAGTCTCACTTACATTAGTCAACAAAATTTTGATAAAAATAATTTTATCTATACTGTCAATAAATAATTTCAATAATATCAATCAACAACAATTTTTATTAATACTTACTAAAAACGTTAAGTTACACCAAGTAGAAAATAATTTTATTGACGTTAATAAAACTTGTTGATTAACATAAAAAAAAATTATTAACATAAAAGAAGTTTTATCAACAAGAAGTTTTATTAATAGTTTGAAAAATATCTTTAACTTACATGGAAGACTTTAACATCTCACAACTATCGTATTAAATATTTTAGGATTAAATATTTTTTTTTTNTAAATATAAAACAAATTATCAAAGACGAGACAAAGAAAATAATTGAGTGTACACAATATCAAAATATTAGTGTGTAGCTATATTAATTTCAATACGATAAATATGGTGATAGAATTTACAAAATTAATGACCATTAAATTTCGTCATTAATCCACACAAATGTTTATATTTAATGGCAACATGAAACAAGTCATGTGCAAGAAGACATTAACGAAGAAGGAAATAAAAACAATAAACACGTGATTGTTTCAAAGAACATCTTAGGAAGAAGGGAAAGAAAGCCTAAAATAATATGGAAAAGTAGTATCATTATTTTTCTTAACTAGACATGAATTAACTTGTTTAGAGAGAGAAGTCGGGAAGTGTTAAATAAAAAAAAAAAAAAAAAATATATGTACATATTTTTTTTAGAAACTCAATATTAACAATCTTTTTTAATAATTTTTTGATAATGAATGATGTGTTACTATTTTATTGGTATGTATATTTAAAATAGATCAATCACAAGTTATAACATAGACTGTTATAAAAAATTATAAAAAAAATTGTTAAAAAAATATTTTTTTTAAGAAGATTAGATAACTCAATTGTACTATTTTATATATTTAATTTGCTGATAAAAAAATAATATTAATGAAAAATAAACAAAATGAAAAAACTGTAATAAACTAGCTTTGTACCCACGCCACTATTTAGTTTTAGTTTTCCTCAAAAATTCATTATCATTATCTGTTAATTGTTTTGCTATGTTATCTGTCACACACATAATCAGAATTCTTTTGTTATATATCGTCACCACCACCCCAAAGTAACGTAAGTCACCGCTTGTGCTTTGTATTTATAGCTTCACTTTAATCTCTTCTTTCGTCACACTGTCATTGCTCATTCATTTCAATTTTCAAGCATCTCTTCCCTCAATTCCATTTTCTCTCCTTCACTTGATAGAAGAAAATCGGAGATTTAATATGCAGCAGGCAAGGAAATTAAAAACGGTTTCGTGGGCTCCTCAATCTCGTCTTTGTCAGGTATATAAACGTCGTCTTCTTTATGTTTTTCGTTTGCTCTATGCTGCTCTTGCTCCGATCTGGTTCAATTTCTGTCGAATTCTTCTGCTATCTGTCACTTAAGATAAACAAAATCCCCTCTTCACTTGAATATGCAATTCTAATCCCCTCGCAGTTTGGAAGAAACAGTGACATGGTACTAAGTTAAAGCTGGAAAAACAAAAAAGTGTAACGTCAAATAAGTTGACATTGTTAGCTTTCTTAATTACGAAATTTGTTTTTTCCTGGATTCATAAATTCACCACTAGTCTATGTTTGTATCCTCATTAATTCATGAAACTTAAACTTAAAAATTATATATCAGGATAACCATTCTTCTAAATCGGTGAGCAAATGAGTGCCGATCATTTGGATTCGGTGGACTGTTTCACTGCTACATAAACATCCAAACGTTGGTTATAGAAGATAACTACGTTATCACATCCTAGAAAGTGATGAATTCATGTTGATTCATGGTTTGAACCAACGTAAAAATATGGACGTATGTACTTCCATTTAGAACATAATCAACCTCGTTCTCATTTTGAGGGATCTCTAAAAGTGTGTAACAAGACACGGGCATTTAACATCGATCAAAGCATGATCTATCTAAACTCTNATTAGAGAAAATTGAAATTAGTCTTTGAAATTTTGACTAAATTTAATTTCTAAACTTTAAAAATATGTGTATTTAGTCTTTTTAATCAAATTTTATGAAGTTTATTTGATGTTTCAAATGAGTCAAACAGTGTAAACAATTCAAATTATATAAAATGTGTTTGAAAAGTCACAAATGCGTTTTCTCAACTAACATTGAAGTAAAAATGTGTTAAACAGTGTAAACAACTAAAATGATATGAAACATGTTTGAAAAGTGAAATAAACTTAACAAAATTTGGTTAAAAGAACTAAATCTACATATTTCTAAAGTTGTGGGACAAAATTGGGCCAATGTTTCGAAGATGGACCAACTCTAATTTCTTCTATTTAAAGTTAAGGGACCAAAAACATATTTAATTGTGTTTGTGTGTGTGTGTGTTTGTGTGTGTATTGAGTCAAATATATGCAAATTTACCAGGTCTAAAATCTACCATGATAACGTAATATTCACTAACAACATTGCCAAAAAATGAGCTCTCTCGGACCACCTAAACTCCATTCTTTATATATGTATGTGAATTTAGTAGAGTTATGATGATTTTACTTTTTAGACTCCTACTCAATGCAAACACCACACTAACCAATGTGACATTCCTCTTAAAGAAAGATCACATTCATACAATATACATAATATCCACATACTAGTCATTCCCTTGTTTTAGTACGTGACAATTTTTTCTTTAAAATCATAACAATTTCATAACATTCACAAGCGTCTTTAAAATTTCAAGTTTTCAAACATATTTTTTCATCTAACCTTCACATATTCGCTCAACGAGTTCAATTATATATTCAATCAACGAGTTACCTTTTGAAGTACATTCCCTCCATGACTCAAGCCCTAAAACTAGTAATATAAAAATTTTCCCAATGAGGTTATGCTCACTCAGTGACTCAAGCCCCAAGAGCTTGTTTAAACCAAGCTTGCAAAGTAAGTTCTGACTCGCTTAATGAGTAAAAGGTTTTGGAGCTCTTTGTAATCCTATTTTTAATTATCGTTTAATGGGGGTTTGGCTTGTCCAATGAGTTTACATAAAACCCAAGAACTCCCTAGCTAGGTGTATCAAATCAACACTTGATCAATATAGACACTCTCTCTTACATGCTCCTTAGTTCGAAAATAACATTGTTACCATTTCAAAGGTGCCCTAAATAAACCAAAATGATACATCCTAGATAGATCAACAACCAAAAATTTACATGCATATCCAAAATCTAGATCAAATCAATAAAAAATTCAAAAGTTCATACACAACCATAAACACATAAATTGAATTAAGCCAACTCACAAACCAATACAATATCATCAGTCTTATACTTATAAGACTATTTGATTCAAAATACAATCACTCAAATTCATTATACACAACATAATATCAGTTTATTTCCAACCAAGCACCAAGCTATTAAAAACAAATAAGTATATTCCCATTACTACTCCATAATTGAATTATTCACTCAAAGCATGAACATATATTTACTTGGATGATAAGCCCAACACAAGACAACATCCAGATACTCCTATTCACACTAGAAGCCATGTATTCATACAAACAATTCAAATTAATGATTTAATCATGTTCTAAGAATATAAATTTATTTTAAGCCCTTAAATACAAGTCTCAAACAACATTCCACGTGAAGTAGATATATGAAACTATAAAAAAAAAGACAAAAAATGAAGATACTATGTTTAATTAAAAAAAAAATCAGATATATAAAATTGTTTCCCTCATTGTCAGAATCCTCAGACATACTCTGATGTGAAACAACTAGATATATTAATAAGAATCCTACAGAAAAATAAGAAAAAGAAAAAGAAACAATTTTAATGAAATGGTAACTTTTTTAAAATAAAATTGATCAACTGATCATTCTATTTATAAAACCAAATTTTACTGTAATAAAGTTCCGTTTTTAAAGAACAATTTTACTCTTTAACTATTTCTAGTTCTTACAAAAACTAACAATAACTTATCCCAATTGAATACACTATCGCTTGACATTAATTGAAAAGTTCATGTTTAACATTAATTAAAAAAACATTATTAACAAAAACATCCTAATTAATATTACTTGAGACATATATAAAAATAATAATTTTGGTGATACAAACAAATAGAAGTCTTAATTAACTTTAACCT